ACTCCAATTTTGAGTTGTCAAACAGTTTTAGAAAAGTTTGACTTCTTACTTGGGGTCCTCTGGGTGCAACTCTCTGCCTCCACTTCCTCCAATACAGAGCCAGAAGCTCTCTATCTGAGCTAATCCCTGCAACTGACACTTCAGTCAGGGATTAGATCAGTAGAACCAGTGGAAGCTCCTGTTGAGCAGCTTCTGGCTTTCTGTCAGAAGTAATAGGGTGGGAATGGGCTCCAGAATACTCCAGGTAAGAAGTGAAACCATTCTAAAATAGTTGACTAATTTCACTGGGAGTTCGCTGTCATGGGCATGGTGCTTGGAGTGTACCTTTAATTAAGTATTCCAAACAATTTCACCATTCTACAATTGCCTTAACAGTTACCTTGTCCATACAGGGTACCATGAGTCCCACAGGTTCGCCAGTCAAGGTTTTCATGACAAGTGTGTGTAATGTAAGTATTGTCAGTCCCACGAAACAGCCTCTTCTCATCCACTTCTGCCCCATTATTTGCCTTCTTCATCTGACCCTTCTTCCTATAAACAATATAGATTCTGAGTCTAAAAGGATACTTTGGAAATACACACTGGCAGTATATATTTATAGCAAGAACCATGGAACTATTTGAGTGAAGGCAGGTAGAAGTTAACGAAGCAAGAATTCTCAGAGGTTGACACATACCACTGATAAAGCTTCCAAAGGGACGGATTCTGTATACGACCGATCTTCTTCACCACAAAGCCTGACAATGTCTTGGTGAACATGCTTTGGATCTGCGAGGCTTCTGGTGACGTCAGGGGAACATTTACAAGCTGTATGGAAAAGAGAACCACAGTAAACAAGATGGCATAGAAGAAGTCACCAATATTGAGAGACTAGATAATTTTCGAGTTGAAAAAAAACAATCCACCACAAAAAAAAGGATGGCTTAACAACAACTATGAAACCCCATGGCACACCCAAGTGTACATTTTAATATTTACCATATAAGATTTATGAATCTTCTCCCAGAAAATATAGGCTAGGTTACAATACATATGCATTAAATAAACACTAAAGCATTAGGAATACAAACCTGTACTTCTAGCCAGTGGCGTACATACGGGGGCGCAAAGGTCGCTGCCCCCCTGCGACCCGGTATGTACGCCAGTGTGGCCAGCCTCTTCTCCTGGGGGGCACAGGAGGTGGCCACCTCAGGCCCCCCGAGGCTGGCCCTGGTGTCACCGGGCGGCCGGTCCTGTGGGCGCGCGAGGGAGCACTCTCCCCTGAGCGCTCTCTGCCCAGCTCCCTGATGCCGGAGCCGGAATATGACGTCATTCTGGCTCCGGCATCAGTACGTGGCGCGCGAGGGAGCTGGGCAGAGAGCACTCAGGGGAGAGTGCTCCCTCGCGCAGCCACAGCACCGGCCGCCCAGCAGCACCACTGGACCCCAGGTAATCCCCTCAGCTCTCCCAAAGGTAAGAAGGCTGGGGGATTAAATAATTTAAAAAAAAAACGTGTTAGTTTTAACACATGTGTGTATCTGCTAGTGTCAGTGAGTGTGTTAGTTTTTGTGTGTGTTAGTTTGTGTGTGTCTGTTATTGAGTGTGTGTCTGCTAGTGAGTATCAGTGTGTGTGTTAGTTTGTGTGTCAGTGAGTGTGTTACTGTGTGTGTCTGCTACTGAGTGTGTTCGTTTGTGTGTGTCTGTTAGTGAGTCTGTTTGATGTGTGTTTGTCAGGGAAAGTGTATGTTTTGTAAGTGGGTGTGTATGTGTGTCTGTCTGTCAGTCAGGGACGTATTAGCCGCGAGGCAAACAAGGCATTTGCCTTGGGCGGCATTTTTCAGGGGGCGGCAAAAAACGCCGCCCCCCAAATGCCCAGGGCAGATGCCTTGTTAGCCTTGCGGCTAACTGACATCCCGGGCGGCCGGCGAGGGAGCACTTCCCATGAGCTGACTGCTCAGCTCCCTCGCGCGTCGGCTGCAGAGTGAGGCTGGGAACCGGAAGATGACATCATCTTCCGGCTCCCAGCCTCACTTTGCGGTGCGCGAGGGAGCTGAGCAGTCAGCTCATGGGAAGTGCTCCCTCGCCGGCCGCCCGCCTGCCAGCGCCGCCCGCCCTGCAGCCACTGGACCACCAGGGAGAGAGACCCCCCCCCAGCACTCCCAAAGGTAAGGAGGTTGGGGGGGGATTTAAATTAAAAAAAAAGTTAATGTGTGTGTGTGTTTGTGTCTGACTGTGTGTGTTTGTGAGTGTGTGTGTGTTTGTGTCTGTGTATGTGTCTGACTGTGTGTGTGTTTGTGTCTGACTGTGTCTGTGTATGTGTCTGACTGTGTGTGTGTATGTGACTGTGTGTGTCTGTGTGTGTTTGTGTGTGTGTTTGTGTCTGACTGTGTGTGTCTGACTGTGTGTGTGTGTGTGTGTGTCTGACTGTGTGTGTTTGTGTCTGACTGTGTGTGTGTGTGTTTGTGTATGTGTCTGACTGTGTGTGTTTGTGTTTGTGTATGTGTCTGACTGTGTGTGTGTGTGTATTTAGAAGGTGGGGCGGGGGGGAGGGGGGCGCCTGAGTTTTGTCCTGCCTAGGGCAGCACAAAACCAGGATACACCACTGCTGTCAGTGAGTGTGTATTTATGTATATCGCTGAGTGTGTCTCTGTCAGTAAATGTGTGTGTCTGTTAGCTAGTGTGTATGCATCTGTTCGTGAGCGTGTGTGTGTGTTTAAAACCCCTTAGCACTTACCTTTCTCCAATGCTGGACTCCTTTGGCGCTGGGGATCCCTCCGCCCCAATCCGCCTCTCAGCTTCAAATGCGCATGCTCGGCAAGAGCCGCCCGCGCATTCAAACCACCCATAGGAAAGCATTACTCAATGCTTTCCTATGGACGTCCAGCGTCTTCTCACTGTGATTTTCACAGTGAGAATCGCAGAATTCAGTGAGACAGCCACTAGAGGCTGAATTAATCCTCAGTGAAACATAGCAGTTTCTCTGAAACAGCTATGTTTTCAGCGCTAGGGTTAAAACTAG